CTCACACACACACAGCGCACTCGCTCTCTCCCAGAGCACTCTCTCTCTCATCCAGCACACTCTCTCTCACTCACTGCACGGTCACTCTCTCTCTCACTCACTGCATAGTCCCTCTCTCTCATACTGCACAACCCCTCTCTCTCACACTCTGCACGCTCTCTCTCTCACGCAGTCTCTCACTCGCAAGTAACCGCCTGAGCGCCGACGCGTCTCCGCCTCGAGCTCATCTCCCACTCTGCAACTGCTTGACGCCGGGCACACCTGGCATGCCCTCCCATTCCCTTCACTGTTCTCCCCTATATCCGCTTGAGTCCCATGGTCTGACCGACCAGGGCCTTCTCGGAGTGCAAGTGTGCAGGAAACAGTCCGCCACGTCACGGAGGAAAAAGAAAACAGTGGTACCGGTCTCACAGGCTCGTCCTACCGTACCTGAAACATGTCGAACACGGCAAGATGCAGCGGCGCGGTAATAGTACCGAACCTGAAGTAAACCGTCGCAATGATCCCGGACCTGAAAATAAATCACCGTAGAGGTTCCGAAATAAACTGTCGTGAGGGCGTCGAACCTGAAACGAAACGCCGCGATGCCACCGAGCCTGACCAAACCCGAAATCCAGTACCGGGTTGTTGTGCCATGCGGATGCCGAACCCGTACAATCATGCCATGATAACCTGTCCCGAACCTGATATAGAATGCCACAACGTTTCCGGACCTGAAAACAAACTGCCGCCTGGAATAACTGTCGTAGTGGCCCCGGTCCTGAGAATAAATCACTGCAGTTGTCCCAAACCTGAAAATAAGTCACCGTAGTGAGACAACTGTCACCGGGCCCATACCGTACCTGAAGCACGTCAGACACCGTAGGACGTAGCCACTCCGTAACRACCCTCGTATCCGTACCGAACCAAACACCATAATCGACCCAAGGCAGCACCACCCCATGCTGTCCATGCGACTCCTGCTCTCAGAACATCTCAACTGCGGTAATGTTAGTAATCAAGCACACCAGGGAAAGCGTCGCAGGGAACCTCGACCATCGGGAGTAGTGTTAACTTGTTAAAATCCGGGGAAAATGATCAATCCGGAGTCAGAGCTGATGGCGGGTAATCGAGGCGAAATCAGGCCAATCTCCCAACGGTCATGGGTTCCCGTCCCTTTCATCGTTTTTCATCATTCTTCCCTTTCCTTAATTCTATTGTCGGAAATAGTAAATTAACTGTAAGTTCCCCAAAATTAAATTCCGAGAAAATTTAAATAAATGGCCGAATTCCTTTTGTTTCTTTTCTCTTTTACCATTTTTAATTTTTTTCTATGTTTTTGATTTCATTGCCGGGAACATAAAATAACAAGGGTATTCCACCTTGAATTTAATGCCGTTAAAAATAAAGAAATTAAGGGATATTATGTTTTTCCCTTCTCCCCTGCTGGTCGTAATCCCTTTTCCCCATTTTTAATTATGGTACTAAAATAGACAAAAATTTGAGGCCTCATTTCGGCCCCGGTCGTATGCCGCAAAAAATATGGCTGCGAGGTCAGTTCCCGCGATGCCTCTCCGCGGCAGGCCAATCCGGGTCTAACCCGTTGAACGGCCAGAAATGACGGTCCGTTGATGTGCCGAATGCGACCACCCATCTCGCCATCTTTGAGGGTTACCCGTAAGGTTCAGCGCGCCCAAAATCAAGGGCGCCCTGAGCTCCCCTAATTTCCGCTGCCTGGTCTAACCAGAGTACCGTCAAAACTCAGACTCGTCTTTGCGCCTAAGTCCCAAAACCGTAGATTTCAGGCGGCGCACTGCTTGTGGCCGCCTGACACCGGGCTACTCTAGTAGCCTAGTCCAAATCTATATATATATATACAAAGTAACCGGCGTTCGAGACAGGCCGAACGCCCGAACGTATGGGACCCCTTGGGGA